CTTCCTTTCACCGTCTTTGCTCTGGGCGGGCTCACCTGCAGATTCACAAGTCTGCTGGTTATATCAGTGTAACGTACTCCGTTCGGAGCCTGCGTATCAGGGTGACGTGGCTGTGCTATCAGTAGCGCCGATACGCCATCGTTATTGCATGGATTGTTTAGTTGGTACATCTAGCTTTGGTAAAACCAAAGAGCAGTAAAAGATACGTAAATCTCATTCGACAGGGTAAGCAAATTAACATAATCCCTGTGTATTAATCAATTTAACATACATAACACAAGTACGGGCTTTTTATTAGGACTAAAGAGACGCTGATGTATCAATGGCATTAATTACACGTTAACAAGATATCCAGTGAAACTAAGCTGGGGTTTTAAAAGTAGCCAAAGGGGAATTTTGATTCGCCAGAGGCTACGGATGCCTCGCTCGGAGGCTCACTGCTATGCTGCTGGTGGCATTCATCCTTTTGCCAGCTGAAGTCAAGCAACTTTAATGTTTTAAATATAACTAATTAAGATAATGTCCGCCTTACATTTGACTGCTTTAGATGCATTAGGGTTACTATGTATAGGTGTTGATATATATGGAAATGTTCTATCTTATTCTGCAAAATGGGCGGCTGCCGGCCAGCGCGGTGAGCAGCCGGGGCACCGCTGGCAGAGGCTGGTCATTGCCGACTGCGCTGCCCCGAAACTCGCAGCTCCGGCCCTTTGCAGAGTGAGCAGAATGCAGAATTTGTGGGGTAAAGGCTGAAGATTTCCAATCACCCTTTTAAAATCCTGGACTGATAAAACTGCGTTTTATTGTAACGAGGTTCCAGGTCGAGACTCCTGTTACCATATTAGTCCAAAAATGGTTTGAGAGCCTGAGGTGGGACATCACTTACCCTGCAGTGACTGTCGCTGGACTGGTAGTCGCTGAGAAGAGGAGAGTTACTGGTGAGACTGTATTTCTTGTCCTCTTTGAATATGCTGATCCGCTGGGCAGTCAGCTTGGCTGGCGGGTAAAACCTGTTCTCTGGCATTTCTCCGGCCCCGCAGAAATGGTCCCCTGGCTCGAAGCTGTGGCGGAGAAAACGCCGCGAGTGCTCTTTGGCCGGGGGCTCGAGTTCCTGCCCATCTTCGTAGACTTGTTTTAACACTCGACCGCTGTAAGCAGACGATATTTTGAACCTGACTTTGCGTGGCCTTCCTTCATGCCGCTGATTGAGTTTCTTCTGGTGCTCATCCATTATTAGGATTTCAAGCTGCAGGTCCTGGAGATCAACTCCAAGAGCTTTGGGTCCAAAAGAAAACTCTCCCCAGCTTCCCCCAGCCACACAATGTATAATTCAAGGTTTCTAGTAGTTCCTCTCATCTTACAGCAAAACCGACACCACTGTATTAAATATTGATAGATATTCACAAAGAGAAAATATCGATGGTAGTGCAATGTAAGGCGGGTCGGTGAATGGCGGGCCGGCTGGCTTACCGCAAGAGGAAAGGAGTTAACTTGGGGAGGATAGGATTAAATAGGAAACTCTGCCCATGTTCTGAAACCATGGAAATGTTTCTGCTATGTGCTGTGATAAGAACTACCCCAAATACACCATCCCAGCAGCTTTTCACAATTTTCTGACAAGGTGAGAAGTTAAAAAGACAAGTTCACAGAAAAAGCAATCCAGCTTCACAAATAGCAAATGTGAATAATTCCTCTTCCATTCTTGCTCTGAAACTCTGAGAGCACAAAGCTCCATTTCATTTTGATCCAAATGTGTTCCTCTACAGGTTGGTGGAGATCTAATTAAGATTTTCTCTCTCTTTAGCTTTCAATCCCTATTTGTAGTTCTTGCTGCCTTTCAGGGCCTTTTGACCATTCTGGGTTTGCTTTTCATTTTTAAAAGACAGTCACCCCCCGAGACCCACCAGAGGCCCTGTCCTCTCCTCGTCTGCTGTCCCTTGCATGTGCTGGAGGAGCACAGAGAACACAGCTACTCCGATTCGGTCATTTTCTTCTCCAGTAGGCAAAGCCGAGGGTTGCAGAGGTACGGAGCAGAGGGGGACGGGGCTCCAGGACCCAGGTTACCCTGCAAAGAAGAGAATCACAGAATGGTTTGGGTTGGAAGGGACCTTAAAGATCATCTCATTCCACCCCCCTGCCCTTGGCAGGGCCACCTCCCACCAGCCCAGGTTGCTCCAAGCCCCGTCCAACCTGGCCTTGAACACCTCCAGGGATGGGGCAGCCACAGCTTCTCGGGGCAACCTGCCCCAGGGGATCACTGCCCGCACAGGGAAACATTTCTTCCTCATATCTCATCTCAATCTCCCCTCTTCCGGTTTAAAACCATTCCCCTTCATCCCACGGCTCCCCTCCCTGACCCAGAGTCCCCCCCCAGCTCTCCTGGAGCCCCTTTAGGCACTGGAAGGGGCTCTGAGGTCTCCCCTTTTTGGCCTTCTCTTCTCCAGGCTGAACCCCCCAACTCTCCCAGCCCCGAGCTGGAGGCAGCACTGCAGGGGGGTCTCCCCAGAGCAGAGCGCAGCAGAGGGGCACAATCCCCCCTCGCCCTGCTGGCCACGCTGCTGGGGATGCAGCCCGGGGTGCGGGGGGCTCGCTGGGCTGCCAGCGCACATTGCCGGCTCATGGGGAGCTTCTCACCCACCAACACCCCCAGGTCCTTCTCCTCAGGACTGCTCTCTGCCCAGCCTGGATTTGTGCTTGGGATTTCCCCAACCCACGTGCAGCACCTTGCGCTTGGCCTTGTTGAACTCTCCAGCCTGTCCAGGTCCCTCTGCGTGGCATCCCTCCCTTCCAGTGTGTCAACCGCTCTGCACAGCTTGGTGTCATCCAAGAGACATCAGCATCAGGCAGGGCTCTGCTCTGCACAGCAGCACCTCTGCAAGGCAATGGTTACAGCCAGCCTCACTCAGCATCTAACGGAGGGACTTTGAGTCCTCCATGCTCCTCACAGAGTGGTCAGGGTTGGAAGAGACCTCTGGAGATCATCTAGTCCAACCCCCCTGCCAGAACAGGGTCACCTACTCTCTCAAGGTCCAAGATTTCAGTAAATTTGCACTGTTAAATGCAGTTTCAGTGAGTGGGACTTAAACTAAGCTTTTTGCCTACCTCCTGCCAAGGCTGTCTTCTTTTAATTCAAAACCAGAGCTTTTAAACCTTAATATTCTCAATAAATTGAGTTGTTATGTTTATTTAAAGCTTGTTCGTGAAATACCAGGATAACAGTTTAGAAGGCTGTATACGGATAATACACAAAATGCACCTTCCAACCAACCGCACAGTCTTCCTGTGCTGGAAGCGGTTCCTGTCGTGACAGACGTTGCCCTTGCAGTTCCTCGGGCTGCTGGAAGCCGCAGCGTAGGTACCCGTAAAAGGCGCCTGTTCCGCCAAGAGAACATGCAGGAGCACGCCTGGGAAGCACACAGCCACGGATACACCCTTTTCATTTCCAAAACAGTATTGTAATGTTCCTGTCGGTCTCCCATCTAATCTCGAACAGGAGGATCTCATATTATATGAAAACTTTGATTTGCATGAAGCAAGCTCGGCTCTTGCTGCATTCACTCGAGCAGCTTGACCCACCCCTTCCCCTTGCAAGTCCTCTGTGAATCAGGGCGCAGTATCGCCGCTTTTCCAAAGCTACGCCAGCGGTCTTAATTTGACACAAATCATACTTGGTGAGACACCTTAATTGGAGTTCATTTTCTTTTGATTAAGGGAACAATCGCACAGGAAGCGCAGTTCAAAGCGGCAATGAGAGAACAGAGCGTGAGCACCACCGCCGCCACCATCTGCGCTCGCGAGACCAGCAGAGCGACTCCCATCCCGACAGTTACTTACAGGTGCTGCCGAAACACAACAAATCTGCCCCGGTCCTCTGATTTCCACCTTGGAACAGTCCCGTCCTCGGCAGTGCTGTCAGCTGGGTCTGCTGTTTACTCGAGCAGCCCGTGGCTGCCGTCAGGGGGAAACTCAGCCTTCTGCGGAGGTGCAGAGTCCTACAGCCACGCGTTCCCCGGGTGGACCCAAGGTCAGCACGCAGAGGCTGCTGTTCAGGCTTGCTGCAGAGGGGTTCCTCGCTCAGATACATATATACCACTTCTTCTGTCCCTGTACAGATAAATCCTGCAAAGAAAAGTTTTCTGAACCGCCTTTCGGCATTGCTTAGCTGTTCTGGACAACTCGGGCCAACCTTTCCACACTGAATATCCCGAACTGGGACTTTTCCTGGTGGTGTTTTCTGAGGCTGCCCCCAAAGCTGGGACCGTCGGGGCGTGCTGGGGACAGGCAGCGTGCCGCGGCGAGGCAGGCGAAGGACGGAGGGGCTGTGGCAATGTGGCACCGCCTGCTGCAGCCCCGCTGCTCCCACCGCAGCCTGGGCTCGTTTCCCACAGCCAGCACACGGCTTACAGAAAATACAACAGTCATCATTTTGCGTACAACAGTCAAATCATTAAGTTTCCTCATCTAGATCATCACTGTTTTACTTCAGACCCTTTTGCACTGTATTTTAATGACATCTGTCTTTCAAGCACAACGCCTCTCGGCGCCCCTCCCCTTGCAGGAGGCACAGTGTGGTGGCGGCTGTGCAGAGCCGAGACAGCCCCTGCCCGCAGGAGCATGACACACGGGTTTAGATCTACTGCAGCAAAGTGGGGCAGAAAGAAAAGCCGTGGTGAACCGGAGTGTAGCGCATTGAAGGTGTGTTTCCACCTGTGAGTTTTGCTGAGAAATGTTTTGTTGTGCTTTGGTTCCTCAGCGCGACCTCTGCAGCCCTCCACAGGACAGCCCACGGGGCGCCACGAACCGGGACGGGAAGAGCCGTATGGTTTCAGCTGCAGCAGTGCCCCAACACTTCAGTCCTGCCCCACCGCCCGCGTCACTCTGAGCACGCACGGCGCCTTGCCGGCCAGTCTGTGGGCAACGCAAAAACAGGGATGGAGCCACCAGCATTGGGGACCCCAAGGAAGGGCTGGAGGTCATGGGTAAGAGAGCAGGTCAGAGATGAAGGCAGCGAAGGACCAAGGTGGAAGCTTGAAAGCGGGGACACGAGCATTAAACTTGCTTCAGCACGGGGGTGGCAGCAGAAAGGTTCAGACCAGCAGGTCAAGAAGATCATTTTAGCCGGTAATTTAAAGGAGTCAGAGCCGGCTGTGTGTGTGCGGAACACGCCAGCAAGAAAAAGTGGGAGAGAAAAGATTCTGCATGGAGCGACAAGCGGAGCTGCTTGCTGCTAAGCTAAGGAAAGGGTTATATTTTGGATGTGCGCAAGGAAAAACTCACCGCCATTTAGAGACCTGAAGAGAGAGAAGGGAAGAAGTCATCAGTAGTTGCAAGACTGAATGGTGGGGAAGATAGCAGCATTACCACGGCAAACGTGGTGGTGCCTTCGAGGACCTGCCAGGCGTGCCACATTAACCATAACTGGCTGTCAGCAAAAGAAGGAAACTTTCCCCCTTTCACTGTTCTCCTGGGTTTCCCCGCAGCAGGGGACAGCCTGTCCCTCACGAGGGAGGAGCGGTCGGAGCAGCCCCAGCACGGGCAGCGCTTGCGCCAGCCCTCTCCTCTGGGGAGAGTCACTGAGCACCAAGCTCTCCTTAGACCCAGGTTGTGCCCCCAGATCAGCTGATTGAAGACTCACCATCACTGCGAATGGCAGCACAGCACACGAGGCTGCATCGTTTCATCCTCACGTGGTGCCCAGGCAGCAGAGCATACCAGTTCAGCGTGCCCTCTGCACTGGGGAGGTGGCAGTGGCGCGGTGCAAAGACTGCAGCGATGCAGGGCACGGATGCAAGGTCTGCGAGACTACAGCCTCTGCTTACCCATGGTATCATCAGACACTGGCATCTGCAGCGAGAAGTATACCTTAGTAAATAAAAATACTCTGCAAATTACTGCTCTGTATTTTCCTATTCAACAGCATCAAGAAAGTCTTAGCTGAGATTGTTTTATACTGGGGTCTCGCAAACCAGTCTACATGAGAAAAGACAGGCAAAGGTCTGCTTCCAGCTGCCTCGTGTTTAGCTCTGAAAGCTGCTCACAACATTTCTAATCTTTTGTCTGACATTAAACATCACAATTTTTTTAAGGGAACAATTTTAAAAGTCTGAAGACTTTTCTAAGCATGAGTTGCCCCAGCCAGGTCTGGCTGAAGGGGCAGGTCGCACGGTGCTCGGTGCTGGCTATATAGTCTTCGTTATTTGATTTAGGACCACCACATAATTCAGGGTGGAA